GGCAAGCCCTTACCTGCAATTTGTCTGTCTGCCGTTTGGCCTGACAACATCTCCACGGATCTTCACAAAAGTTCTTCTTGCCTTGGTGGCATTCATTCGGGAGCAAGGTGTGCGAATTTATCACTACCTGGACGACATCTTATTGCTCGGTCAAGAGCAAAGTCAGCTGCTGAGTCACCCCATCCAACTTTCGAAGACTTTGGGTGGCTCGTCAATTTCAAGAAAAGCCACCTGGTACCTACTCAGAACCTAGTCTATCTAGGTGCTCGTGTCAACACGGCTCGAGCCTCAGTCTCTTTGCCTCCGGCAAAAATCCCGACCATCCGCAAGTGTGTGACGCCTGCTCTTTCTCCAACCTTCATGACTGCCAGACAATGTCTTCGGGTGGTGGGCACTATGATTTCGGTGATTCCCATGGTGAAGTGGGCCCAATGGAGAGCTTGAATATTCCAAGTGGGATTCCTGAGGCGTTGGTCGACGGAACTTCTGGATCAGAAGATCCGGGTAAGGTCATCCATGAAGGAGAGTTTGATTTGGTGGCTCCAAGATCGCAACCTGCAGTGTTGCCACTCCCTTTTGCCTATAGACTGGGTGATTGTCACGTCAGATGCCAGCGAGCAAGGTTGGGGAGCAGTCTGCCTGGATCAGACGGCCCACGGAAGGTGTACATTCCCCGCCAAGGGGATGGTTTCCAACATTCTAGAACTCAGGGCTGCCTTTCAGGCTCTTCTGGCATTCAAAACCTTGCTCAGGGTATGCTCTGTCAGGCTCAGAATGGACAATACTACTGCAGTGGCCTATGTCAGGAGACGGCGGAACTCGCAGTTCCACGCTCCTGCAGGAAGTTTCTCCGATCATGCTCTGGGCGCAGGAGAATCTGAACCTGTTGTCAGCTGTGTATTTACCAGGTCATGCCAATGTTCAAGCGGACTTCCTCTCCCGGACGGGCTTCGACAACGAGTGGTCCCTCTCACCACTAAAGTTCCGGAGCTTGACGAGGTGGGCCTTTCGGCCACAGATAGACCTCTTCGCTTCCCCATCCAACACAAAACTGCCGGTCTTTTGTGCGAGGCTACCGTGCCTGGGTGCGAGGCTAACCCCTGTAATAGAGGTTCAAGACGGCATACACCTTCCCTCCGGTGCCTCTTATTCTCAGTTTCCTGAAGAGACTACATAGGGAGAGGGTCACTGTGCTAGCAGTGATTCCGAATTGGCAGCGACGTCCCTGGTACCCACTTCTTCGGGAGTTGTCGATGGGCGAGCCTTATCCCCTACCTCTCCAGAAGGACCTGCTGACTCAAGGTCCGTTGATCCACCCGGCACCCGAGAAGCTATGTCTCATGGCCTGGATCTTGAAAGGGGGAGGCTGCAGAGAGACGGGTGCTCGGGGACCGTGATCTCCACCTTGATGAGCGCCCGGAAGGCCAGCACCAATAGGTCCTACAGTAGGATCTGGTCCAAATTTAAGGATTTTGCGCACTTGCACAAGTTCTCACCAGAATCTCCAAGTACTGGAGTTTCTGCAGAGAGGTTTGGAATTGAATCTCAGCTCCAGCACACTCGAAGGCCATGTTTCACCTCTGTCAGCCTTCTCTGGAACTCAGTGGGCCGCCGATCCCTTGATTGTTAAATTCTTCAAGGCGGTGGTGCGTATTAAAACTCCCAGGAAGCCGATGTTTCCCAATTGGGACCTTCCTCTGGTCCTGGATTTCCTAGCCTTGGATACTTTTGGAGGGCAGGCGTCTCTCTGGTACCTAACCTTGAAGACGGCCTTTCTAGTGGCGATCTTCTCAGCCAGGAGAGTGTCGGAGATCACGGCCCTCGGATGCAATGAACAGTTTAAGGCTCAAGACCAGGTAAAAGCTGGTTTTGAGTCCTTGATTCCCATGATCACTGTCAATAAGAACGTAGATTGGATAAATTACGTCTATTACAACCAGCAGCGGTTCGTGAATTAAACCAGAGATGCCCAGCAGGGAATTGCTGACCAATTAAGCCCCACCTCTTACATGACATTCCAAAACAGGATGGCCCTAGACATGATTCTAGCGGAGAAGGGGGGTGTTTGCAAAATGATTGAAGGCACAGGAACGTGCTGCACGTACATCCCAGACAACACTGGCCCAAATGGTAGTTACAGACCCATGGGACCAATATTTTAATTGGATGACAGGATGGCCGAAAGCATTAGCCAAAGTAGGTGTGGTGATTCTCATTGTTCTGACCTTTATCAGCCTAGTAGTCTGCCGTGTGATCCCCTATGCCAAAAAGTTAATGACCAAAGCGGTGGATGAGAGTACTTTGACCCCAACCATGATACACGTAGAAGAGGACACCTACCTGAGTGATGATGAGAAACCATATTCCCCGTTACGATCCTTTCCCCCAAATATAATGTTGTTAGGTCAGTAAGTGTGGGGACAGAGATCACCTGACCGCTCACACTGACATGTTGGGACCAGAGGTGGATTAGCCCCGGGATGTTAGTTCCGGGATAGTTCCGGGATGTGTGTCAGGTGATGGGGTAAGGGACAGGAAAATGTATCTACATAGAAATAGCCATTTTAGGGAGGACTGTAATGGATGTGGTTAAGTGACTATGATAAAATGCCTATTTCAATATATTGTTTATATATTGTTTATATATTGTGTTATTGCTCCTGTTCATATGAATTCTTACGCAGCCTAGCCCCCCCCCCCCATGAGAAGTACGCACTAGAAATAGAAACCAAGATGGCGCCTCCAGGAGAAACTGCACCCACGACGAGGACGCCGGCACCCTGGAAGGAGGTTACGCTTTAATGAATCAGTCCAATTATAACCTAGAAAGCTATCGCAAATGCTATGTTTACATATACACTATTAGCTGCCTATATAAGACAAAAATGAAGAAGTAATCTTTACTCTGACTCTCGGTGTCAGCGTGTTTTTATTTCTTCACTGATAGTGTGCACACTTTGTACTGAATTAGGCCCAGGGACAGATATATGTCGGATTCTTGATGTCCGAGTCCACAACACTGTCTTTTTTGCTGACCAGGTTGTCCTTATCCCCATGTTGAGATTTGTACCAAAAGTGGCTTCTAGATTTCATCTTCAGCAGGAAATCGTTTTCCCTAACCTCTATTCGCACTCTGATGACCGTGTTGCCAGATTAGATGTAGGCAATTCCCTGAGGTCATACCTGACGGCTATGGAAGCGATCAGATCGACTGATCATCTGTTTGTCATAGCTGCTGGATCAAAAAAGGCGGTAAGGCATCCTCCAGAACTATTGCCTCTTGGTTGGTGAAAGTGATAACCTTGGCATACGCTTCTAAGGGGTTAGCAGCTCCCGAGTAGACTACGGCACATTCAACGCGCAGCGTCTCAGCTTCGTGGGCTGCAGCGGGACAGGTTTCACCTGAGACTATCAGCAAAGCAGCTACTTGGTCCTCGATACACACGTACATGAAGCATTATTGCATTGAACTTGCTGCACTTACCACTGTGGATTTTGGTCATAGGGTTGTTGCCTCTTCGGCTTCTGTGCATAATTAAATTTCTCCTCCTTTTGCAATGCCAATTAGTTCATGTGCTGACGAGAGGCATGCTGATGGGAAGAGAAAGAAGAGAAATAATCTCATTGCTGCCTTTCACTATCCAGTCACAGGCTGGTCCAGATTACCTGGGCTCAGAGGAAGTGGGTTAAATGATGCTGACTATCTGACTGAGGATATCTAATGTCAGAAAAATTACTGCCTGTGAAATCTTTGCATTTGAAAGTAGGGAAATACCGATACCGGCCATTTTCACGAGTAATCAAAATTCTCAGATACCCAAAACCAATACCTGCATTTAAATTGAAACGGCTGCCATAAGGTCCCGTACTTGCTGGGGACCTCGCGACAGCCTTCTGGGGAACCACTCGGAGCCTGTTTCCAGTGCCGGCCCACACATTAAGAGGGGGGTCTCTTAAGACCCTCCACAGCCCTCCTGAGACCCTCCACCTGAGACATCAGGCCAGCACCCCGGAGCAGAGCGGCCACACAAAGTATATAGAAAATTAATATACTATTATTCAGCATTGCTGTATAATGTATTGCTGGGATTTGTAGTCTTCCATAGCCAGAGCCATTCTGCACTGCTGTATAATATATTGGTGAGATTTGCCGCTACTCTACAGCTTGGAGTCAGTGGCAGAACTACCTGGATCGCAGCTGCAACTGGGCTCCGGCACTCCACCACAGTCCTAAACATTAGTCTGTATTGCTCTAGAAAAACTCACATAAAAAAAAAAAGGTATCGGTAATTGGCATCGGTGAGTACTTGAGGAAAAGTAGGGATGCACGATACTGATTTTTGGGTATCGAGTACCAATATTTTTTTTCGGTACTTGCCAGTATCGATGCTGTGTGCCCCAATTATCAGTAGGTTGGGCAGCGCATCATGACTGAGTACCTAGGAAGCCAGCGTTCTATCAAAAGAACACCGGCCTCACTTGCCGAGGCTGCTTGGCTACCTGACCCAATCAGGAAGCCGGGCAGCGGGGTCATGACGTGACGTCCGGCTTCCTGACCATTCAGGCTTCCTGATTGGTCAGCAAGCCAGGCTGCCTAGCAACAAGTGAACCCGGCTTGCTACCTAATCTGGTAGGCGGGTTGCACGTCATGACCCGCCTCCCAGTTTCCTGATTGGCTAGGAAGCCGGCTTCACTTGTTGCTAGGCAGCCTGGCTTCCTGACCAATCAGGAAGCTGGGAGGCAGGTCATTACATGCCGCCAAGCTGCCTAGCAACAAGTGAAGCTGACTTCCTAGCCAATTGAGAGGCAGGTCATAACCCACCGCCTGGCTTCCTGATTGGAAGTAAGCCGGCTCTGTGCTCCTCAGCACTGTCGTTCAGGAGAAGATCTCCCTCTTGAGCGGAAATTCTGAATTCAGGAATTCCTAAATATTGTTTGTCTTTATTAATATTCTGAATGAAATCGGCTATACACCTAATAAAGGAACATTTGTATTTCAGCTTTTGAGTCGGAAAGACAAGACAACGTTTGAGAAACTGGAGTATGTCGTTAGCAAGGAAGATAATTACAAACGGCTAAGAGACTATATCAATAGCTTGAAGATGACTCCTTGTATTCCATATTTGGGTAAGCTCTTAATGGTTTTCTTTTGTTATTATGGGCTGTAGGAAAGTAACATGTGTTATCTGTTGTGCTGTCTCTTGGTGATCGTTGCTGTGGGGCTGCGGACTGCTGCTTTAGTGTGGTCAGTTTGGATGCAGTTTCCAATACATCATATAATGGCTACGTAAAGTCGTTTTGGGTAAACACAATGTCAACTGAACTCTTGTTGAGGTATTTTATCTTTTATTCTGACCACTGCCTTGTACACACAACTAACTGACATAGTATGAAATAGAACATTAAATATTTGGTGTGATCATCCCACATTAGATGCTAGGAGGTCCACAGCGCAAGTTTCCAATTGTCTGTCATTTCTATGAGCTGGCAGACTTTTTTATTTTTTTAAATATCAAAACCTGGTTGTGGTTTATTTTCTGACTAGCAAAACTGTGCCCATATGTTGAACCGGGTGGAATTTAGAAGTCCTCGTAGTAAAAATAAGTTCTGCCTCGTAATATAACAATGCTTTGAGGAGGTTATAATGAACAGGCTTGAGCTTTTTAACATACTGCACACCTTATAGAATGTGGCAGTCTGTACGTTTACAGCACAGTATATATGGAGAGGAGGGATCCAGAGTATATTGTGATGTAATGAGTGGGGTATTCTGGAATAATAATATTTGGTGCGTTCAACATACCACGCTTCTGAGTGTGACACCCTGCACCTTCCCATAAAAAACATATTTCACTGTAGCGGTCGTCTATTAGGATTACTTGGTTAAACTGATAACTTAGTGCTATCTATTACGCTGAAGCATCTTGGGTAAAGTAATCAGGATAAGTGTGGAGGGGGCAGGAGGGGGGGGGGGCGACAGTTCTGCCAGGCACAAAATGTCGGTGCACCCAAGAAGATGATCAAAATGTTCAGAAGGGTAATTTTGTATCCAGGGTCTCCATATGTTTCAGAATTTCTGTATTGAATGTGAATAGCTGTTAATTTATCTTTCAATACATTTGAAGCCATTATTGTTTAACCTGAGCAATTCTAGAGTTGGCTGACCACCAGTCTTTGGCTGCCATAAAGATACTTACCTAACACAGTAGTAGATGCTGCTGTATGCAGTGCTTTTAAGTGCATCGGGGTGAAACGTGATTAAACCCCACCGCCTCCCATTCTCCAGCGCTGACTGGAGGAACGGACAGGGTAGGGGGCGGGCACAGCTGGCTCTGCCTCTAGATAGGCAGAGCCCGCTGCCAATCAGCCAGCTGGGGGTGGATCTCTGTAGTATTGTCGGGATCTGTCCCGGCTGCTGCGCTCTCAGTATAGAACGGCAATAGCTTTGGCTCATGTGAGGAGGTTAGTACATCCCATGACCCTAAAGAGAACTATGGGATGAATAGGTTACCCCATAGTTCTCTTTTAATGATATTTCACTTGTGACATTTCAATCAAATTCTAAAAAAAAATAAGTACAGCGTGTGATGTGAAGGGATCGGCGTATCAACACTGTGCCAGGCACCTCACACCAGCTGTTTGCAATGTAGCGCAGCGGATGGTGTGAATGGGTTTAATGCTAGTATATACTTAGTGATTAGTGTGTAGTGATTTTTTTTACTGTTGTAGCGGTAACATTGTCCCATCCCCAGTCAGTGGTATCAGCTCAGAGTATAGACTATTTAAGAAACTTTTTAGTGCCTTCGTCAGTGAAAACAATATGCAGGGTACAGGTACTCGTAGTGACTCATACGCACACACAAAATTGAACTGTATGGGCCTGTCTCTCTATTCAACTTTAACAACTGCGTAACTGTTATACACTCAAATGGTGGCAAGCAAAGAGAAGCATTCTGACCTCAGTTTGGATGGCCTTTCAGTCATGTCGATGTTATATGGGGGTAAATAACCATTTTGTTTCCACCAGCTGAAACATGTTTGTGCAAGGTGGTACCAATCGTTCCTTTCTCAGTGTAGATAAAGAAATAAAAATTTATAACTTGAGGTAACATTGTGCTTTAGCCAGTAATAAGACTAAGACAAGAGGATGGCAAAGGTGTCTTATCACTTTTGTCCTCGGTGAGGCTACCGCGTGTTTGCAGCCAACCTAACTGTCTAGAGTTTTCAGTGCAAATACTTCTGTTTACACACATGCCGGCTGCCAGGAAGAAAAAGTGGAATCATCATCCACATTGCGGTTAGCACAGCTTCTCGGCGGCTTTTCCTTTTTTTTTATTTTACGGTTATATAGCCAGTCATCCTGTATACATTTCTCCCAGCAGGGATCCCCACCAATACTCTGGGCTCCTCTTAGCAAAGTTCTTGGCAACCACACAAAAGATGAATTTCTCCTTCTCCTTCCCCCTCAGTTTGAGCGGTGTTTCCCTGTGTGCATTCTCTCAGGACTCTCCTGGCTCCAGTATAACATATCGGTTTTCTTGGAAAGGGAGGTCAGAAGCCTTCTTCCTTGTGATTTACTCTGCAGAACTGCTTTCCTCGCAGACGCTTGCAATGTTATTACTGTCTATTATTTTGTCATTTCATTTAGCCACTCGTACATCAGAGTTAAAAACCTCCACTGGCGCAAGATTACAGTATATAACTTTGTATAACTCTTGATCTTTTAGAACAGCTTGTCATAGGTTTAAAGATGAGCACTGCCAGTAGGTTTATGATGAAGTTTGGACTTGGAATACTTTTTCTTTAATTGACAGCAAGAGTTCCTCTAACAAAGGTCAGTAATTGGTAGTTATGTGAAGTTTTCTAGATTAGCACTGGCTCGATAGGCAATCTAAATTTACAAACCAATTTTAATAAAAGCCATGTCTAAAAATTGAAAGACTCCAATTTTGTTTTGTTGAAAGTAGCTCATTTTAAGAACTTTCTATTTGTAAACTCTGCATATTGCTTTTAAAAAAGGAGCCGCTGAAATCACAAAATCAGCTAACACTTTTCCTGCGTTACTTTTAATTAGAAAATGGCAAATATGCAAATAAGTTTGGTAGCAACAGGCACTTTTGCAGCTATTTAACTGTGCCCACCCCTCCACTGCAGAGCAATGTCCCATTTTTTGTCATGGGATCGAAACACTTTTTTGAGGTTCAGTTCTCTTTAGTTGTGACGTTCTAAAGTGGAGAAACCACCTGTAAATGGGGAGGTGTATATTTCTACCCATTTATTTTGCATCATTTTGGGGCTCTCTGTATGTTACATACATACGGTACGTGTGTGTGTATATATGTATATATATATGTGTGTGTGTGTGTGTGTATATATATATACACACACACACACACACACACACACACACACACACACACACACTTTATCGCTTCTCTAGCCTTTTGGCTAAGATCAAGTGTAGTATCTGTTCTTATCAGTTTTCAGTGGGGAAAAGAACCGTCCTTGCGGGGGATGGTTACTGAGTACTCGCTGGAGTGAAAGAGCGTGTGGGGCGGCTTCCTGTGAGAGGGGAACCGCTCAGTACATCGCTTTCTGACTGAACAGATGCGAAGCTTGGTCTGGCTCGAGGGTTCGGGGGCGGCAGAAGCCTGTGGTGTTGTGCCCCCTGGCGTCACTTGGGTATGGGACCCCACATGACTCACTGTAGCACTTGGTCACACACCATATTGCTTATTTCTGCACTTCGCCTCCAAGACAGGCCTTATGGCTAGTCTGGGGCAATATTTTTGCACTCCGGCCCTTAAGACCTGTCAGAGTGGTGCACTGGCACTTTAGATTTATTTATGCACTCTATGCACGTTTGGCACTTTTTTATTTTTAAATTTGACCCACAGATGCTGATGGTGCAGGTTTCTTCAGGGCCTATTCCTGACGCTGGGAGGAGATTCTGTGCCTCGTAGGGGGTTCTCTGTCTCCTCCCACCCAGGAGGTGGGGCTCTCTTCGGGAGAGCCCACCTGCCTAGTACTGTGAGGGACCTGTTGCGGCAGGTCCCCGAAGGAAATGGGTCCATGGCCTTCGGGTTTGGTGGACTAACAGTCTCAACCCCTGTCAGGAGCCTTGCGCCCCGGGGGGTCGGGAAAATAGGTCCCTTCTTTCGAAGGACCTTGCACCCTTGTGCACGTTTTTGTGTGCTGTGATTTCACGGTTCACTTTTTTTGTTCACAGGGGGAAGTTTGATGCACGTCCACGGGCTTTGCAAAAAATAATAATCTATAGATAGATATATAGATATATATCTATATATCTATATAATGTATAGGTGTGTATATATACTCATTCTCATTGGAGAACTGAAAAGTGCACTTGGGAGTTCCTCGAGCCTGCCCTTGGCAACACCTTCTTCCCTAGGTTATGGTTTCCTTCTCCTTGTTGATTACTTCTACTCACAATATGTGCTCCAGCCTGACTGCTGTACTGGCGTTTAAACAAATTTGGAGTGCTGGACAATATTTTATTGTTAAGAGCCAGCTGACTTCTGGCTGCTTGTTCAGTTTTCCTACTTTATATCCCACTGACCAATCTATGATTTCTCATCTTCCAAAAAAAAAAAAAAGAAGAATTTTAGCACATGGGATCATTGTAGAGGGTTTTGGGGCTTGCCCAGAAGTTGTGTAAGGAATTAATTAATTACTCTGTAATATGATTTATAGGATATCTCTGCGGCAGGGAGGCTGCCTCTTACTGGAGTAAGTTGGATAGGAGTCATGCTTGTCTGCAATATAAATTATAGCAATCCGGTGTTCATTAAACTTTCAGCCCTTATTCCAAACTCTTCAGCCTGCACTGTGCCAGTTGCAATCAGTGTCCTGTACTCCTGCCATTTCCTTGTGCTGTGGTATGGCTTGTTTCATTTTTAAAAATATATCCTTGGAATTGTGTTTATTGATGGCAATACACCTACCACCAACGGCTAAGGACTACATAGAAAATCTTTGTTGCTCAGTAGGCTATTTAATCACAGTTAAAAGGTATCAGTTTTATTCCTTTTTCTCTTACTTCTGATCATTTACTGACAAGCAGATATCCGAGATATAGCCGTACATCTGAAAATAATTAAGGTTAT